ATTTTACAATTTTGAGATTCTGTGCTGCTTTAGCCTGTGGGTCTGGGGCTTCGTATTAGGGGATGCTGAGCTCTCTGCACAGAGCAGGGAGACAAAACAATTCCTGCTCCAGCTGGGCACCAAGGACAAATGATCCAAATTTCAGCCCCAAGAGCACAAACACCATGGGCTAGAGGGAGAAAAACAAGCAGGACGGGACTGCCTGGGCTGGAGCTGGAATGGGACAATGAACTCCAAGGTGCCAATGGAGCAGAACTGATCCCAGGGAGAGCCCCGGGAGCGCTCGTGCATTTTGGGACCATTTTGGTTCATTTTGGGTGCAGCCCTGGCTGGGCTCTTTGTGCTGCCCAAGGTGAATCCATTGAGGTGATCCTTTGAATAAATCCCTGCTGAGGTTTTTCTGGGTGCTTGGAGGCTGAAGAGCTCCTGGACTGGCTGTGTCCCAGCAGGGGAGGTGGCCTTGCACTCACTGGGCTGCAGGAACAAAGAGGGGGCTCAAGCTGAGCTTAAATCAGGCTCCAGCAGCAGGCGAGGAGGGAGGTTTGTGATTCCACGTGGGAATTGGGCAGGGGTGGCAGTTTGGTGGGGACAACCCTGTCCAGGCAGGGTTTGGGCAGAGGGATGCACAGCTGCTCTCTGCTTTCCTACTTGGACTCTTTCAAAAGTCCTGTGGTCTGAACAAAATGGAAAAAAGGCTTTTTATAATTAAATGTAAGCAAACTGATGGCTGGAGCTTCATCTGGAGGTGAGAAATTGTGCTGTTTTGCCTCCTAAAGGCTGAAACGAGACAATTCAGAATTTGGAAAAATAAGAAATAAAAGAATTTCCAGAAGGATTCTCAAATTTCTGGGTGGATTTGCAAATCATTTGGGTAAACATAGACGTCATCCTTTTCTGGCAAAGACCAAAGCTGAGAACACTGCCTGGCCCCAGCTGTGCTTTGCTGCCTGTTTCAGCCACCAGAGTGGGTACATGGCCTTTCCATGCTGCAGGAGCACTGAACCTTGCCCTGGCCCTTTTGGAAAACATTGGAGTATTTTCAACCATACTTTTGATGAGTTTTGAGACATTGTTAATGCTTCCTGGCTTAAAAGGGCAAAAATGTTGGTGTTTTGGCTTCTACTATTTGGAGTTCAGCTGGTGATTCCAGGGGCATCAAACACCTCAGAGATGGGGGGACTTAAGGATTTGGGATCATGGAAGAACTCCTGGCCTTATCCCACAGGGAAAAAGGAACAAATAGAGCAAGGTGTGAGCTATGCAAGCCCACAGCCACATGTATACACACCTGTATTTCACACCAGTTTCAGATTAAATTTATGCAAAGGGCTGCTCTTGGGTCTTTAACTGATGGTGGGTTTGTGCAAGGAGGAATGAGTAGGGCACACTAATTTTGTAGCTTTCATTAAGCACACAATTAATCCATGTCTTGGAGGAGGCAGTTCTTTCTTTGGCTCTCTCTGCTGCTCCTGCTCCCCTGTTAATATTCAGCAGGCTCTGAGGGCTGAGCTGCTCTTTGGTTTCAGGCAGAGAACAGCTCCCTGGTGTTATCTGATGCCCTGTGAAGTTAGTTTGGGATGCAGGGCTGGGAAACTGTGGGAATCCTGAGCTTCCCTCTGGCTGCCCTGGCAGGTCTGGGACCCTGGCAGGGGTCAGGAACCCCCCTGGACAGAGCCCCCAGAGACACTGGCTGTGATCTCTGTCCATGGAAAAGAGTTTTCAATTTTACAGGATGAATTACAAGCTCTGAGTGTTTGCTATAAGTAATAATTAAGTGTGGCATGGGTGCAAAAGTAAAATTTTAGGATTCTAGATGAGGGGTCCAAAGGGGACAAGCTGGAGGAAATTGGGTGTGCCTTGTCCTTTTTCTCCTTCTTCATGCCCTCCATGTTTCACTGTGGTGTTGGCATTTTTTCTGTTGGTTCAGGCTGGGCACACACTGTCCAACGTAGGTGACAGATATTGGCACGTTATTGTAAATCCAGCCCAGGGAGTTTCTGGTATTTAATGTTTGTCACATCCCACTGAGGGCAGAGCCCCACACGCTGCCCTGCAGGACAGAGCTGGGCAGGGCAGCAGAACATGTGAGAGATCAACAGAATAAACCACCTGGAAACCAGCACAGACCAATTATGGCTTCTGCTTTGGCAGGGGGCTGACAGACAGAGACTTTTCAATCTCGGGATCATCAATACCTCAGATTCCGACAGGACTCAGCTGCTTGGGAAGAGCTCAGAGCCTTGCTTGTACCTGCAGGCTTGGAATGATATTCCCTTATTGCTGCCTGAGCTGAGTGCTGAGGGACGTGTTTGAAGGAGAAAAAACCAACTCCAGCCTGGGGTGAGAAGAGAAAGGCTTGAATGAAACATCTCATCATTCAGAGATGACCCAGCAGTGACAGGAGCATGGCCCACAGCCAGTCCCTGACCTGGGGGTGCCTTTTCTCTTGGCTTTGTTGTGCTGATTTGACAAAAAATCATCACCAGCCCTTGCTGAGGCAGCACAAGCTTCACACAGGAAGGGCTGAGGCTGTGTGTCCTTCCAGGGAAACAGGGAATCCCAGCTCCTTTCCCTGGATATTTGGCATGGCCTTGTGCCTTCAGCACGCTGCTCAGGCTACTTTCAGCGTGCTCCCTGCACTGACAGAGCCATGAAGGGTGTTGTGCAAAGCTTTTCTGTGAGATGGATTGCTCAGGGAGGGTTTGGAGAAGAGAATCAGAGCAGAGCTGCTGAGGGTGAAGGGGTCAGACTGAATAATTGAAGGCAGATCTGCTCCAGTATCTTTCAGTAGCTTCTGCACTGTCTGCATGGGTGGGTGAGGCCTGGATGAGCTGAGATTTGCAAACCCCCTGTCACTTTGACTGTCTGATTTTAGGCACAATGGACAGTGCTTTCTAAAGGCTCAGGCTGCAGTAGCTTTCCTTCACAAGCATGGGAACTGCTCATCCTGAGCTTTTCTGCTTCTTCCTGGGCAAGGAGAAGCTAAAAATGCCATTTGAGAGCAAAAAAAATAAGGCTAAACTTTACATTCTGACTTGTGATAAACCCCTGACTATACAAGTGGAAAACGGATTCAGGAAATTAGATTGGATATCAGGAAATTCTTGGATATTAGGAAGAATTTTTCCATGAAGGGGTGGTCAGGCATTGGAACAGGCTGCCCAAGGAGATGTGGAATCACCATCCTTGGATCCTTGGAAGTGTTCAAAATGTGTACAGTGTATGTGGCACTGGGGACATGTGGTGTATGAGGTGGTGCTGGTAATGGTAATGGTTAATGTGGTGTGGTTAATGGTAATATTTAGTTAATGGTAATGGTTAATGGTAATGGTTAATGGTAATGGCTGGACTTGGTCCTGAAGGTCTCTTCCAATCTTTGTGATTCCATAACAAACCTCTTCACCCCATCCATGGGCCCCCACTCCCTCACAGAGGGCTGAATGGTCTCTCATTAACATGTCTCCAAGGCCAGTGGGGCTTGGAGACAAGAAATGGCCAAATCCATGGTATTCCTGCCCTTCAAGAGACACAGTCTCAATCTATGCCAAGAGAAATATAGGTTGGATATTAGGAAAAAGGTTTTTCACAGAAAGGTGATAAAGTTCTGCAATGGCTGCCCAGGGAGGTGGTGGAGTCACCATCCCTGGGTGTGTTTAAACCAGCCTGGATGTGGCACTGGGTGCCAGGGTTGAGTTGAGGTGTTGGGGCTGGGTTGGACTGGATGATCTTGAAGGTCTCTCCCAACCCAGTGATTCTGTGATTCTGGGAAGTCTCTGGGGTCAGTGGGAGCTGCTGGCACAGTGCAGAGCAAGCAGGCTGCAGGTAAAGCACCCTGACCCCAGGAGCACTGCTGATGGGGCTGGGAACAGCAAGGCCCTTCCAGCTCCTGCAGCAGTTCAGCAGCAGAACTCATGCACCAGAGCCCTCTCTCATGTGTGAATCTTCCCCCATTCATGACAAATTTCAAACCCATGCATGGAAGAGGCAATGACTTCTCCACGTGTATTCCCCAGGGAGGCTGCGTGCAGATTTTGCTCTGTGCCCAATGAGCAGTGGCCATTTCAACACCCTGAAGGGGAATAGATGGCTAAATCCTGAATTCAGGCTCAGTCTAAGCAAACAGAGCAAACAGAGCTCACTGCCAGAGGGATTTCACACTGCAGTTCTGAGTTTGCTGCTCAGCATTCATTTGGTTCTAATTGTGTACCTTGGCTGTGTTGGCATTGCATCCTCACATCCCTGCTAATGAGGAAGCAGGGCTGCTGCAAGCAGAGGAATCCTGTAGGGATGTTGGCAGCATCCCAGAGAAGGTATTTTAGACTCACTGGGGAAGTTCCAGACATCACAGATTATATATTTATACTAATTATGCCTTATCACTGGGGAAGGCCAGGACAGGCAGCGAATTCTTGGTGTAGGCAGGACTATGTTTTTGTAGCAGAAAGGCAAAATCACTTCCAGTGAAGGGAATAAGTTATCTCCCTAACCAAGAACCAGCACTTTTATAACTGGAGTATTAAGCACTACAGAGAACATTGCTTTGCCCAGGAAAGTCACATCTCCTCAACCCCCTCCTCTCCCTCTGTCCTTTCCTCCTGGACTTGGTGGTGCTTCAGGTTGGATGTTGCAGTTTGCCAGGAGATGCCCTGAGGACAGCCACGTCAGAGGTTCCCAATTCCTCCTCAGAGGAGGGCAGAGGGTGGAAATGCTTGCCCAGGACAGATGATGCTGCTCCTCATGGGTGTTTGGGGTCAGTGCAGTAGAGATGCTGAGTGTTCCCTGCCTGTGGCACTGTCATGGGAAGCCTGGGCTGCTGACAAGGACCATGGTGTAATTCCACTGCATGCACCTGTGTGACTGGAGAACCCAGCCCAGTGCACAGACAGGAGTGCAGAATAAGTGTGAGCATCACCCAAACGAGGACAAGCAACCCTGGATATGTCTCATCCACCTTGTCCAGTCCTACCCCAAATGCAAAACTGCATGGCGTGTCACAAACATCAGCTGCTTTTTCTTTATTTCATTGTCTTCAGCCCTCATACAACTACAAATTTAGCACTGCTGCTAAAGAAAAAAAGAGCAAACTACAGCCATTCATGGGGTAACATAATTTAAAACGTTGTGAGACAGCTGATACTATTAAAAATCATGGCCCTGTTACGGGCTTTCATTATTGATGGCTACTTGAGGAGACATACACTATAAAATATAAAGATAAAAAGTGAAAGGCTATTTAGATAGCTGTTCAGCTGAGTGCTGCTAGCATCAAATCAGTGGCACTGGAGAAATGAGAACAGACACACGGCACAGCCTCTGGACTAAATGTGTTCACATTCTGGGTCTGCCAGGGCTTCGCCTGCACAACGTACACTTTAAATCAAAGCAACATTGAAGTCAGTATTGATTGTTCTTGGAGATAGATTTTACCTTCAGGCACTGCTGTTTCCCAAAGGAGCGTGAGCAAGGACGTAAGTCTCTGTGCAGTGCTGGCTGCTCGTGGACAGGGATCTCCCTGAAATCCTCTGAAAACGATTCCTCCTCTGGAAGTACCCACTGCTGCTGCTGAGGGAGCGCTGCCTGTTCTTCAGGTACTCCCGGTAGTTTTTGGTCAGCAGGGTGTAGAGGAAGGGGTTGATGCAGCTGTTGCTGTAGGTCAGGCAGGTTGTCAAGTAATTAATGTTCTTCATCACCTTGGGAGACAAAGGGAAGGATTCATAATACTGGAAGAGGAGCTGCCATATCCAGAAAGGCAAGAAGCAAGCCCAGAAGACCAGCACTATGGTGAAGATTAAATAGAGCACCTTCTGGTTGGGCAGCCTCTTGGTCTGCTTGAAGGAAGCAGTCTGGGACACCCAGTAAATCTTAGCCAGGCGGATGTAAAGGTAGCCAATGACCACCCCCGGGCCCACGATGCTGGTGCCAAAAAGGATGGTGAGATAGACTTTGTAGGACAGCTTGCTCCAGGTGGGCAGGCAGATGCTTTTGTTGTCCCTTTGCACCAGCTGGATCATGATGAGCATGGGCAGGGTGAGCAGCAGGGACACCAGCCAGATCAGCACAGCAATGGCCTTGCGGTAGCTCTTGGACCTCTTCACCGTGTCCAGGGGCTTCAGCACGGCAAAGTAGCGCTCCGTGCTCATGACTGTGAGGGTGAAGATGCTGGCGTGCATGGTGAGGAAGTCCAGGCTGAACAGGATGCGACAGCCAACGTCCCCAAAGTACCACTTCTGAATGAAGTAGGTCCCGACGATGAAGGGGATGGTGAGGAGGTAGAGCAGGTCGGCCAGCGCCAGGTTGATGATGTAGATGTACATGGAGGCAGAGGAGCGCAGGTAGTGGCACATCACCAGCAGGGTGTAGACGTTGCCTGTCACCCCCACCACGCACATGAGCGACAGGATGGCCCCGATGGTGCAGATGGCAATCATGTCCTCCGTGGAGCCTGCGGCCCACGCGCCGTCCCCGGTGGCGTTGGCGGAGACATTGGGCCTGATTCTGAACACGCTGCCCTCACTTGTGTCTGTCACCATGTAGGGGGTGGTGGAGAAGTGGCTCTCCAGCTCGTCACTGAGGGACATCCTCCTGGGTTTAAATGCCAGAAGCTTTGCTCATGTCACAGGGGTCGGAGGGGGTTCTCTCTGCTCCGAGAAACGCGGCTGCTGGGAGCTGTAGAACCATTTCTTAGCGGTGTCTCATCCAAGGACCATCTGCATTCTCCACTAGAGGAAAGACATCAAAACCAACATATTAGAAATCTGCCAGAGCAACACAAAAGTTCATTTAGAAGTTACCTGTCCCTGAGCACGTATCTGCACTGCCTGAATGTACCAAAGGTCTTTGGCACCGAGGCCACTCTTGTAGGGCTGGTGCTGTCATTGCAAGAGCCCAGCTGTGAGCTGTGTCCATGGAAAAGAGACAAAAAAGGTTGTGTGGATCACTGGAACCACTTACTGGAGTCCTTAGTTTGGGGTTAGAGGAAAAAAACATCCTTCCTAAATTTATAACGATGATTTAGAGCTATCAGCATGATTGTTTAAACCTCTTTGCCACATTCTTAACTCTGAAGGAGCGGAAGACCCCTAAAAAGGGAAAACAAACTTCAGATTTATCATTTGCAGCCAAATTTTCTGTTCTGAGTTAGTGATGCATTCAAAGTCCTGTCCAGCATTCCTGCAGCGTTTTCACAGAGCAGCTTCCCTTGAATGAGAAGCTCCTCCTCTGTCCTGCAGTTTCAAACAGCATTCGAGTGATGGAGAAAAAGGCACTTCATAAAGCAAAGTGCAGTTTCCCTGTGGGATTTCTGTGTCTGTAAACACAGGGTTTTTCACCCTCTCTGTCCAGTGTGACACCAGAGATGTCCATGTGCTGTAAAACAGATCTGTCTCAGCCAGAGCTGGTGTGAACCTGCCTCAACAGCCTTGAGCAGCGAGGTGTGAGGCAACATGTGAGGAAACTCTGTAGGTGGGAGCCTCTGCTTAGCTCACACTCGGTGCTGCACAAATCAGGACTCTGTTGCTCTCAATTCACTCTAGGTGTAGGCAAAAGAAGAGCAAACCTTCCTCAGAGAAAGCTGAAGAAGTAGCTAAAATGCCCAGATTTTAAGGGCATACCAAAAGCCTGTGCCATCCTAAAGGTCACTGCATACAGAAGTGCATTTGCATTGTGTGTTTTACAGCACTCAGGCTGTCTCTTTTTCTTTGGAAAACGCTGAGGAGGAGGGGTGCTGGACTGCCTTGTCCTTATAGGGCTCAGCCGGCAAAAATTTCCCTCTGCCTTGTTCCATTGGGCAGGCTGGATTTGTTTAATCCTGGGAATTTGCAGCGTTTCCCAGTGAGTTAGGTGTCCCTTTCCCTCCTCACCAGCTCTGCCTCCTTTTCCTCTTTCCTCCCACTGTCTCCTTGGCAGGAGCATTACAGTCCCCCGCTGCCCTTGTGTCACCCTGTCAGTGACCTCTGTGGCCCTTGAGGATGGACAATTTTCATCCTCTTCATGACCTGCCCTCACCTTCTCCCCATTACCTGCTGAGGATGGCGGGTGCTACAGAGATGTCATAAAAAACTCTGGATAAGAGAGGACAACTGAACGCAGAGGGAGATTTCCCCTCACGTAGCAATTGGGATAAAAGTACAAAAAAACAGAGAAACACACAGAGCCCGTGTCCCACCCCAGTCCCTTGAGTGCAGGTGAGAGATGAGCATGGTTCTGCAGTGCTCGGTGCTCCTTCAGGACAGTGCTGCTCTGGGCTGTCTCCACAGCTTCACCAGCATCAAGATCCATTTCTTGGACCTTGCAATTCCAAATCTTCCCCGTCCTGCTCCTGCTGTGCCCTTCTGCTGTAGGGCAGGTGTGGCCAGTCTGTCCCACTCCCTCGGTGTCCCTTTTATCGGTTGGTGTCCGAGCTGGCAGTGCAAATGACTTCCAAGCTGCTCCAGGATCTGTGGCTGCTCCTCTGCCTCACAACCAGCAGAAGGGCACAGAAATGAACAGCTCTGCATGGGATGCTCCAGCTGAGCCCGGAGCTGGTCCCACACGCAGCTCTCGGCTCGGTGTGCTGGTGATAGCTCATTTTCAGGAGCGTTATTTCCGTGCCTCAGGTGCTGCCTCCTTGCAGCTGCCTCATTTGGCATCCCAGGGACTTGTAGCAGATTTGTGCCATGCTGGTGCCTGTCTGTGCAGCTCCCTGGAGTGACAGCTCCTGCTGGAGAGAGCCGAGCCCACTGCATCTCCCTGCTCTGCTCCTCTTCTGCTGAACCTGCCTTCTGCTCCATTCATAAAATTCCTACAGCACTATTTCCATTCAGACACTTTGCCCATCTCCAGACAGAGCTAGAAGAGGAAAATTAAGCCAAATGGGGAGCGCTTGCATAATTTTAAAGTTCCCATCAATGCTGCTCTCGTACACAAACACACACTCACATGCACACACAACAGAGAGCTTGTTATTCCAAGCAGCCATTCAAGCATCTTACGGTCCAGGTGGTTTTCCCAGCCAATCTTGCCTTTTCCTCTACGATATCATCCCACAGGAGTACCATGCACATTTACAGCTGTAAACAGAAATGAATTTCTCCTGCTCAAACCTTGCTTTTATATCCGTCAGATGAAGTTTCCTACGAGAAAGAAAATAATAATAATAATAAAAGTATATCTAGTAGTATCAAAGCTGGAACTTAAAGAAAGAAAAACTGAAAAAGAGGAAAAAAAATAGAAAGAAGAGAATCCTTCTTCATGGGCAGAGAGCGAGAGATCCCAGGGCTGTGTCGCATCTGGAGCGGCAGGGGCAGGAAGGGAACGTGCTGCCAGCCAAGAATGTTTGAAATCTGGGCGCTCTTAATACTCTCATTCCCCTCCCTCCACTCGTGCTGGCTATTTTTGCTCCCCGGTGACGTGAGGCATAGCGTGGCTGTGCTGCAGCCAGCGAAGAGCCTGTTTAAAGCAGCAGGGTTTGATAAGCCTGGTTATCAAGGCTCGCTCAGCTGCATCCCCCTGCCCCGCTCTGGGCATTGAGAGGCTCGAGTTGTTCCATCCCAGGAGTGCTGGAAGGCAAAGAACCCTCCGGACAGCACACGGAGAGGGAGAATTCCCAAATTCCCAAATTCCCAAATTCCCAAATTCCCAAGGCTGCCCGAGCAAAGCCAGCACGGCTGGGGAAGGAGAGTGGGCCAGGGAGGGTTAAAATCCTGCAGGAGGGTCACATTCCTGCGGGAGGGAAACAGCAGAGCTCCTTGATTTGGAGATCCATTCCGAAGCCAAGCTGAAGTTTATTTGGGTTGGATGGCGTACCGACAGATGAATCCGTGCAGTGGGATCACACACTGCAGCACCTGAGACATTTCAGGCTGGCAGGAACAAAATATTGCCAAAGTTGTTCAGGGGCTGGGTGGATCCCTTTCCCCAGTGATACTTGTGAGAAATGCTACTCACTTTCAAAAATTTGAAAAAGGTTTATTAAAACCTTTCAAAAATTACAACAGAAAACCGAATAGAGAAAATAAATACGGTGCTGGGAGCAAAGGATTTTCCCCACCATGTGCTCATCCACACAATGGAGGTTTTGCCTTTTAACCCTTTGGTCCCTCCCAAAGTTCTGTCCATTGACTCCTTTGCTGTCCAGTGGTGGAGGTCACATCCTTACATCTTTTTCAGAGGTCCTGTGTTGCCATAGTGACAAGCCGACCCTCCCAAATATCCCAAATACCCAGGTCACCCCATGATAACAACACAAGTGGGGTAAAACACAACTATAAATCTATAAAGTTTCTCTTAACATATATACATGATATTTGCCCTTTAATTTGGAGAGTCGACGATTTCATTACTCATTTATCACGTACTCAAACACAGAGATCAGCCCAGCAGTGTTTGGATGGGACTGGTGCCGGGAGATGCTGAAAAACTCTGGATTGTTTTGTGAGCAGCTGGACGTTGTGCTGGTTGCTTGCACACAGTGGGATTGCTCTTGCTCCCAGTTTCCTGCCTTGTCTCTGAGGGCTGCAGGGAATCGCTCCTGATCCGTGCCAGGGGGAGGTGAGGAGCCCTCACCTCTCCCAGGTGTCTCCTGCAGGACACAGTGTGTGGGAGATGCTGGCAGCCCCACTGCCTGCTTCTCTGGGCACCCACAGTGGGCAGGGGATGCTTCCAGCCCTGGGCTCCTGGGAGAGACCAATCCATCCTGAGTGCTGCTCCCTCCTCTGCCTCTTTCCGTGGATACTCAGGTTATTTCTTCTGTGTTCTCAACTGTCTCCACAGGCCCCCAAATGGGTAATAATTAGCATTGACTCCATGGTTGCAGAAGGCCGATCTATTGCTTTATTATTATCTCATCCTATACTATATTATACTATATTTATATTACACTATATTACACTAACAAGAATTATCACTCACTATAAAACCCACGACTCTCTCTGCTGAGAATCCCAACACAGCTGTTGGATCCAATTGGTCAATGAATCCAAAACACCATCACCAGAATCCAATCAAGCAATCACGTTGGGTGAAAAACCTCACAGCACATTCCACGTGGGCACAAACACTGAGCAGCAGTGAGATAAGAATTGTTTTGATCATTCTTTTCCCTCAAGAAAATGCCTGGGAAAGTCTGTGCCTGCTCTCTGTGGCCAGAGAGATGCTGCTATAATCAGCTTTCTGCACTCTGGGTGTCTGGAGGTGCATCTTGTGTCTAAGGGCAGTGGGAGCCCAGTTTGGCTCCAAACTGGGACAGCTTGGTGACAGCTTGGTGGAAGAACGTGGACAGCTTGGTGAGCCCTGGCTGTGCCTGTCCCCACAGTTGGACAGCTGGGCTCTGCTCAGGGACAGCCTTTTGAGATCTTGGCTTAAGAAAAAATCCATGTGGAAGCTGGATTTTACTGTAAAAATAGATCTTTGCAGCTCTAGCAAGAGATGGCTGAGAAACCCCAGCCTGAACATTTACATGTACGTTTTGCTCTGACTTTGCTTTTTGTGTTTGGTCCCTGGAAATCTTTGGAGAAGTGTGGGATGGGAGCTGCTGCTCAGGCTGTCTTCTGAGGAAGATCCAAATTCCTGGATCAGGAATGGTGTGGCCAGCAGGAGCAGGGAGGTCGTTCTTCCTTGGAGAGATTTGAGTTGGGGTAAAGCTCTTTGGGCAGTGCTTATAGCTGGGTGCTGCTAATTCACATACACTGGTGGCTTTCTGTGGCCAACATGGCACAGCTGCCTCTTTAAACTTTAAATTAAGCCATCTCCAAGATTTTGTGGAGACAGTTGCCCTCTCAGTCTACACAGCCCCATTTACACTTTTATTTGCAAGGTTTGAGATGTGCTATTGGATCTTCTCCATCCTTTGACCTCCTCACCTTCTCTTTGGTTCCTGGAATAGCTGCAGTGAGTGTAATCACCAGGGGGAAAGCAGCAAGCTCTCGGAGGCAGAAGAGATCATTGCTTCCCTCCATCTGCTGAGAAAAGCTTCTCTCACAAGTGTCTGTTGGAGAAGCTCTTCAGGGACAGGATTTGGCTTGGGTAATATGTCACATTTTCCTCATTGCCAGTTAAAATCTGATCATGTCTTTGTGAACAGTTTTGAGAGCTGGGATAATGGTCACAGACAAATGTTAATTAATTCTCTTTATTGCAAAGCATTTGAGATCAACAACAAAAATCACAGCATAATTCTCCTGGAAATCCCTCAAATCATCATCAAGAAAGCCATGGATAGTGCAGACACACTGAGGCACACCTTCCATGGGCCAGAAGCTGTTGCTACACTAGACACAAAAGCCTCTTTGCTATTATTTTCTGTCCCAAATATCCTGGTCAGCACCTCTGTGCTCTGCTCTGCCTGGTGCAAACCACACAATTCCTTTGCAGTTTGGTTCCATGTCCTCAGCCTCTCCTCCTCTGTTCAGCTGAACAGCTGCCCTGCTCCCTCTTCGACACCATTCTGTATTCCTCAGCCCTCATAGCTGGGAATTAGAAGATTTAGGAAAGTGCTCTGGGGCCAGAATCCTGTTAGGAAAAAGTCAGGCTCCATAATTTCCAGCTGCTGCTGCTGATCCCAGGGGTTTTCTCAGCACGGAGGGCAGCACACATCCTCAGCCTGGCAGCAAAGATTTCTGCTGGAGCTCTCAAAACCCTCTCACAGGAGACAAGAGATGGAGTGTGAAAAGTTGTCTGGCAGTGCATAAAGAGCAGCAAATGTCACCATGCTGAGTTTGTGCCACTGTGGGCTCGGGGGTGGCATTTGCCATCCTGCACACAGTGGGGTGGGGCTGGGGATGGTGGCAGCTGGTGCTGCTGTGGGTCACCTCTCTGGAGCAGCAGATGCTGATTCAAATGCTCCTTTTAAAAGCTGCTTTTCTACAAGAAGTCACATTCCCACATAATTTCTGCCCTTCCTTACTCTGATAGGTAACTTCTACCCCCAGTGGTGGTGGCTCAATGCTGGCTTTCAGTGCCTGTCTTCACTTCCTAGAGGAGACAGTAAAGGAGACAATAAAGTCCTTTTTTCCCCCTTGTGGCAGCATCAAACTGAGCAAAGTCCTCCTGATGCTGTCAGCCCCTCTGGGGCTGCAGCCCCTCTCTACTCTGCAGGTGGGAACAGCTCTGTGCAAGGGCCTTGAAAAGGAAAGGCTTGCAGCTAAAAGCACTGTCAAAAATGACAGGTGCTAGTTAAAAGTATGTGCCAGTTTTTAAATAAAGCATTTTGCCCTCCATGGGTTGCTTCCTGGGATGAAGAACAGGGAACAGATGCCTACTCTGTGCCAGTCCCTCTCTGCAGGGACATCAGTGTCACCAGCACAAGGTCTGGGCAGCAGAGGACAGGGCACAGGAGGGGTGGCTGTGCAGTGTTTGTTCCTCTGCTGGAACTTTTGATGTAGGAACAGGCTGGATGGAGGGTGCTGGCTGAAGTGAGCAGTGGATGTGGCACTCCACCTGTGCCACACTCCCTTGTGGCTCCTTCTTTCATTTCCCTTCTCTCAGGGTGCAGCACTCCCCTGCCCACTGTCCCTTCCCACCATTGTCTGCTCCTTCAGAGGGAAGTGCCTCCTGGCATTTTGTGCCAGAGGGAAATTCCTCTGGAAATGGCCCTAATGTAGAATAAATGGCTTAATTCCCTGGTCAAAAGCAGTGGGAGGACTGAGCAGGTGCCTGGTTCCACAGTTGGAAAGCATGCTTGATTGTCTCAAAATGCTTTTCTTTGCCTTGGTTTGGTCCAAAGTACCACTTTACCTGATGGAGGCTTTTTTGTTCCCAGGTGCTGCCCCACTCAATGGGAAGGGGCTGCCCACAGCAGATGGGGGGGCTGAGGCTGGGCTTGGGGTTGCTGAGGGCTCCCCCCAGCCCTGGTGTGAGAAGGGGGTGCAGACAAGCCCATGGAACTGTATCAGTGCTACGGTGCCCAACCAACAGGGAGAATGATGTGCAGAACTCCATGATGTCAGAAGGATAATTAATTACTTTATTGTATTATACTAAAGCTATATTACACTATATTACTAACAAGAACTATCACGAACTAACTTACAAACCTGTGACTCTCTGCCAAGAGACCCAACACAGCTATGAACTAATTTGTCAATGAATCCAAAACACCAGCACCAGAATCCAATCAAGCAATCACCTTGGGTAAAAAAAATCTCCATAATGCATTCCACAGGGGCACCAACACAGGAGCAGTGTGGGAACTCAGGATATCCTCCTGGCTGTCTCCAGACCCTGGCACAAAGTCAAAAACTCCTGTGGCTTCCATTTTAGCCCGTGGAAAAAACTGCCAACTTTGTATGAGGAATTACAAGCCACAAAGGTTTGAGTAGTGTGGTAGCTGAATTAGCACAGGGTGGAAAAGTAGAATCTGGACCCTGAGAGGGCAGCAAATGAAGTAAGAATTGTTTTGA